CGGCAGGGGACGGGGAGGCTCCCTACAGCAAGGCACCTGAGGGATTTTATTGGCTCAGGTCACGCCAGTGGCACTGGAACTGGTAAGGGGGGCCAGGCTCGGGTGACAGGTGGATGTGAGGGGGTGACAATGGCCAGGTGTGCGCCTGGGCCTCTGAAGAAAGGGAGGGACGTGCTTTAGGAGGGAGACCATCGTGGAAGAAGTCCTCGTCCCAGGGAAGAGAGGACAGAGGTCCCAGGGGACCGGGGGGACAGAGGATGGACAGCGGTGCCCGAATCCAGGAGGGAGTCCAGTGTCCCCGAGCGGAGCAGGGGGACAGCGTTACCAGCAGCGCACTGTCCGCTTCAGGTGGCCGGAGGACAGGATCTGAATGTTCCCAACACAAAGAAGCGAGGGGAGCGCTGATCACCGGAATGGGACCACTCCACACCTTCCTGCCGGGGACGCCTCACCAGCTGCGGGGATCCTGGTCCCAAGAGCTCTGCGCTCCTGGGAGACTGAAGGGCGAACCACCTCCCGGGCGCAGGCAGCCACTGGGAAGCACAAGCCCACCACAGCCAAATGCTGCCTGCGTCCTCCACGACTTTGCGCCTGCCATCTCGGCACGCACTCTCCTCCAGGTGCCAAGGCAGGGGGCAGTATCTGAAAAGCTTGGGCACCCTCCTCCTGGCCACCCACCTCTGCCCTGCTCCAGGGTCACACTTGGAGCCCGATTCCAAGGCAGTGAAAGTGTCCACATTCCCCCGTGGGACACCCCGAATTCCAGCCCAAGGAGAAAACTCTGCGTTTGCCAACGCGATCCAGATCAGACAGAGAGGTTCCTATTCTTATTGTAGTCTTTGAGAAATTCAATTGACTTTTTAATTTAAAAATTTGTTATTAGAGCAGCTCCCCATTCCTTAAAAAGAAAGCCATACCAACGATCTGTTTCTTTCCGTCCTCGGTGATCGTTGCCCAGGTTGGTCACTGGGCGGGTCAGGTAATGGAGTCACTGTTTCAGAGTTGGCTTCTTTTCCACTGGGTCAGACACTGCATGCAGGAGAGGTCGGCCTACCTCCTCTGTGATGGTCAGAGAGCCAACTGTTGAGATTTTGCACCCTGTGGGGGTCTCTTTTGCACTACTGGAGTGCACAAAGCCACCAGAGATGACCTGTAAGTGGATGGGTGTGCTTTGTACCAGTGAAAAGCTCACATAAAACCAGGTGGCCAGAGGGGTCAGGGTCAGTACTTTTAAGCACACAGTGTAACTGCCCGGTTAGGGACTAAGGGCCTCGGGGCCAGGGGAGCCTGGGTTCCAGGTTGGGTTATTCCAGTACCAGGTGTGAGATCTGGTTGTGCAAATCACACAATACCCCGCCTCAGAGCCCTCCTCTGTGCCGGGAAAGGTAGCCGCTAGAACCCAGCGCTGACGGGGTTAAGTGAGCTCAGGTGGGCACCCAGGGCTGCCCGGTCCTGCACAGTGCACTCTGCCGATCTGTGGCTGCTTTGTCACTTGCTCCCCTGGGCCAGGTTTCCTGTCTGTCCCTCATCGTCTGCCCGTCAGTCCACTGGGTAAACACCCACTAATCTGCTTCCTTATTTCCCGAGACGGTCTGCTTTACAGATCACTCAACACCCTTGAAGAGTGAGCATGCGGAGGAGAAGCCGATTTTCTTTTT